CCAAACCATTCTATGATCCTATAATGCTTTCTGTGATCTACATCAGCCAGCCCTCCACATCATAAATACCGAATGCAATACCTGAAGGATTGCTGGAGTGAGTTTGCCCATCACCTTCTCTGAGAAGACAACAATGCAAAACAGACTTTACTCTGAGAAAAGCTGCACTCACCTGATCTTCTTCTTCTCTGACATCTGGCATGGTGCTGATGCAGAGGCTGACTGCAGTGATGGCAACGAAAGAGACTGAAATACAAGCAAAGATCTTCCCTGGGATCCCTGAGTGGGGGTTCTCCACCATATCCCTGAGCTTTCTCATGCACAAACTCAATCGATTATTGTCCTGGAAGGCACATTGCGCAGTTTCACTAAAAATCATCTCCCCTTCATACAGCCTGGCCTCAGCTGCCTCCTCCTCTTTCTGTCGCAATCTCTTTTTACAGCACCACTCCAGGTGGTCCTCTTCTATCCCCCAGTACACAAGCTCCTCCTGAAAAGAAAGAGCGCACATCTCCCTGAGAAGCCTCAGCTTCCCAGCTGTCAGGAAAGTCACGATCGTCCTGAAGGCACTAGGGTTACGATCAAAAAAAAATTCATTGCAGCTAACATCATAATCATCGCAGACGTTCATGATCTCATCGTAATTGTTGCAAGATTTTAGCTTCCCAAGCCTGGTCAAGGGGCAGTTCTCCAAGGTGGTCCATGGAACTTTGTATTTAATACCACCCACGTTGATAATCACAAACCTGGTCCGGTCATCCAGGTGGGCGAAGCAGCACAAGTCTTCCCCAGGGTGCAGAAGTTTGGCCTTTTTGTAGAAGAATCCTTTCTTGGTTTGCACTTCACACAGGTTTTCCAAGTTATTGAAGGAGTAGGAGCTGAACTCAGGATCTGCATTCCCAGTGAGCAATGCCATATCGTGATACATTTATTGAGTCCATAAGGAGGTGGAGGCTACTCAAACAAATGCATCTGGAGCTTGATTGGAGAGTCAATCTGTAAAACAGAATTTAAAAATTACAATAAAATTAAGCATCGCTAGATAAAAAACCAATCCTATCCTCTCAATCCCAATAAACTTTTCTCCATGGCATTGTTTTCCCCCCATTATTTTATGACTGCCTTTGCTTTAGGGTCACTTGGGAAGGAACTTTAACTGTAATAACGTCAGAAACCATATCTGTATTTCTAGAGGGTTTAGTCAATGAATGGATGGAAACAAACCCAGCGTATTATAATTTTCAGAAATTTCTTTTCTAGAGGTTCAAGCTATATCCTGGATGCCAATGGATACTGGAAGGGAAAATGGGTCTTTTGGATAAATGGGAATTTACATGTTAGCAACTTAGTAAAGAAGCTTTGTTGCAAGTGTACTTTGAAATGATAATGTATCTATTACAAAAATGGCTATAGCGTGAGGATACAATGTATGCCTACAGTACAGTCAGAAGTGGGATTGCAGCAATACTGGTCATTCCCCATTTAAATTCACCAAACTTCAATACCAATAGCAATGAACATGTGGGAGCTGAAAATCCAGTCCGCAGCCAGCACCCCAGCAGGTTTGGGTGCTTGAGCACAAAGTGTGTCCTACCGAGATTCACTTGCCACTGGTACCCCGAGTAACTGGGTTAAAGCTGTACTGGCCACATCTACCTGAACAGCCCCACTTCTCAAAGGTCTTTGTTCTTGTGCTGGGATGCCTGCCGTGCAGGCTAGTGACATCTGCTGCAGGGAGCTGTGCATCCCAGCTCTGAGCAGAGACGGGCAGTGGTCCTGCTCTGGATCAGAGCTCGCCCCACTAGCTACCGGAGGCTCTGCTACAGTTCTGTCTGCAGGAGGTGGACAGGGTGCCCTGCAGCCCAGCAGCAGCTCTGAAACGGGAGACCAAACCTACCCATCAAGGAGGTTGATATAAGCTGGTGGTTGCTCTTCCCGCTTCCTGGCAAGAAGGAAGAAGAAGAGAGAGAAGGAGAGCAAGAAACTGGGAACGGGACTTTACCCTGCTGTCCCAGCCAGGCTATAAGAAGAGGGGGCAAGTTTGCAGCTTCATCTGAGGAAAAGATTCTTGTTGCAAGGAGCTTTGCTCAGATGGCTAAGCAGGCTAATCTGCACTCTGCCCTACCAGATAAAGCATTGTGCATAATTCCAGGATTGAATTTATGCCTTCTGCTTAGTGCCCATTTACCACACCACAATGCACAGATCTCCTGAACGTACTTTTTTCACCTGCCACATGCTTCCTCACTTTCTCTAGAGCTCTCCACCCAGGTTCTCCAAAGCTGCGTCTCCGACGAGTAGTAGGATGTCTTGAAATGCTACTATGTAATTGCATTAGTGAATCGCCTAAAACTTCCTAAATTGCTCAAATATGAAGTAAGCAGGAAACAAGAAATCAGTGTGGGCATGTTGGGACTCCACACTTGGACTGGGAATGGATGCAGTGATGGGGAAAAATCTTTTGTAGAGAATGTAGAAACCTTACAAGACGGTAAGACAGGAGAAAAAGTTGAGGTATGAAGTATAGTCTGATGTTACTGATGACAGGGCAGTAACCATGAGGCGCTAACCCCATAATTTATAAGCAACATTCTCCATTTCCCTTTGAATCTCATGCCTGAACCTGAAGGGCATACTGAACAAGAGACTGCTAGGAAAAACTACAAACACATTCAAAACCACATTCCCAGAGAAGCATCTTCCTTTATCTGTAATCTACTCACTAACTGTTAACTCATTGGATTTAGTCAAAACAATCTCCAGCAGAAAGCGGTGAATGCTTGCTACTCGCAGCCATGAGTCACCCTCTAAATATCCTTACCAACCTGTCAAACAAACGGATCACAGCAATAGCAGTCATACTCCTACATTTCTGTGAGGATCCAGCCACTGAGTTTTAGAAAAGCATTCATGTTGGGTATTTAGCCGTGTTCCGTCACCTAAAGATATTTTTCGGCACTGTGAAAGTTTCAGAAGAACTAACAATGCCAAAATCTCTCCAAAATCATTTTGAGGGAAGAAAAGAAAAAAAAAAAAAAGGAAAGTTTAAACATCCGTTTATACAGGTCAACGTGCGCAACAGCGAAAAAGCTCCTCTGCCTGGCTAAGGGCCAGTCAAGGGTAAGAGGCAGCAACATGCATTCTGAGAAATGGGTGCTTTTACAGCACAGGCTTGAGTGCAGCTGGGACTGCAAATACCATTACTGTCTCGACGAGAGCACGCTGTCAGCATGGCATATGCTTTAAGGATTCAGTCTCTTGTTGCTTGTTGTTGGTAAGATAAAATATTCACTGCCACTACTGGGTGCACTGCGCTTTTGTTTTCATGCCTCACTTGTAACATAAGTCAACATACAAGAAGTAGTTTACATTCTTTTGACATCAAGGCTAGGATTTGCATTTCTCCTCTTCCCTGTGTAGCAGGTTGTTGCATAAAGGGGCCAGATGCATTACACAGAATTACTCTGAATCTAATCTTACATGCACTTCTTTCTTCCTCCAAGAAGCAGCTAACCCCGGGAAAATCTGTAAGCATTTAGTTTGTTACAAAATGTCTGAATTACAGAGGGTTAACCTTTTATTTTGCAGATATAAAATGATACTGATTAAATGCAAAGCTTAAGAAAGCAGCTTTTCTTTTTTATTTTTTTGTATAATCAGTGGATAAATAGAAAGTGATAACAGAAGTGGTTATACCTAGTGTTGCCTTTGTTTTAATAGGCTGATTCTGAACAGCACTGGTAGCATCAGATGCTGGAGTTCAGTTACTAAAGTGCATTTTCTGACCTCTGTCTTGGTTGCACGCAAACAGTCCAAGACCCCAGAATCCGTAATTGCACACATCGTTAGTTGGCAGCATTTGTTTTGGAAATCTCAGCTAAAATATAAGCATGTGAAGGGAGCTGTACATACTATTCTCCCTGGCACCCCTGAGGTAATTGCCTTAGACCAGGGCTCTGTCAGTGGAACAGCACGGAAAAGCTTGTTGTGCCACTTCAACTGTCCTACAGAAAAAGAATATGTTACTGTGTGCTCCCAATTTGGCATCAGTCCTGAGAAGTAAAATAAGCCTGGAAGGTCTGTTTCTGACCTCATGTGCATGGAATGTATCATGACCTTCGCAGCATATTAAAAGGTGTTTCAAAATTACGTGGGTCTTAAAATACCCTCCGCATGCCAAGGTTATCTTAGGTATGCACATGCCTAGAGTAAAGCATCCCGTTGAAGATTAACTTTAAAAGCCAATACTTCCAGAAGTGATACTACATTATCATCCCGTTGGCATTTCTACCATTTGATCTGGCACACGGGTACAAGGAAGACTATCAAAACCCAGTCTGTAACGAATCGCCCCTTGCAGGGACACAGGGCAGAATTTGACTCTGTATTTGTTGTGGATCATTTTAAAGCACTGTGGGAGGAATGCTGTAGAAATGCTGCAGTTTAATGATCATACACAGGGTGGGTCATACATATTGTAGGTTTTGTTTTCTTTTTTACGTAGAGTGGAACAATTTTTATTCACAGTGAATTACTTTCTTTGGCCAGCTATGTATGCATACGTGTGTCCGCACACACACAAGTTCAGCTAAAACCTGTCAACAGCAGACAGCTGAGATCTTTAAAATACAGGTATTTCTCATGAAATATTTTAAAGATTAAATAAACATCAGAAGCATGGAACTGCTTCATGTTCTCCTTTTTATTGAATAATTTTCTCAATGGAGAGGGGGCTATTTCCCTGCTTACTGCCTTTTCACTCTGCCTGCTCTCATCCCCCTTCTTCTCACAAACATTCTTAATCATCCCGTTTTACCAGTATTCTTGCATCTAAGTCATATATGGTTTTGCCTGTGGCTCCACTGGTCTCAAGTTGCCTTGAATCCGAATGAAAAATGGGGCAAAAGCATCCCTGCCAACAGGCTGGCCAGCCTGGTGAGGAGAGCTTCACACTAGTGACTGGGGAGAAATGGGTGGATCGAAGGGGTCAGGGTGACATGGCCAGGAAAGACCTGGTGATCAGCAGCAGAGAGCGGAATGGTGACCACATCAAGCGTATGGATGCAAATGAGGGTATGCCTACAGGGAAGCGTCACGGGCAGAGCGCTCACACCTTTTCTGAGAGATCATCATGGCTAGGTGCCTCTGCAGTGCTTGTACACTACTGCATGCAGCCAGGGGAGCCAACTGGAGGAATTAAGAGGCCTCTGTGCAGTTGCACAGAAGAAAGTGGTACTATGAGGATGCTCAAGCATTGGAACAGGATGCCAAAAGAGGTTGTGAAGTCTCCATTCTTGGGGTTATTCAAAACCCATCTGAACACAGTCCTGAGTAACTTGCTCCAGCTAGTGGCACTTTGAGCAGCAGAGGTTAAACTAGATGAACTTTCGAGGTCCCTTCTTACCTAAACTACTCCATGACTTTGTGAACAGTCACTTTTATCTGCTGCTGTAATTTACAAAGTACTGAAGGTTTACACTTGTACTATGGTAGCAAGAGGAAGCCATGAGGCTTTTTAGTAATTAATGTTTTAAGATTTTTCCTTGTGAAATAAAACACACTTTGACAGAGCACAGGTTATTGTGTCAGAATTTAAAGCCACAGACATGAAACATAGATTAGGGTGACCACAAGATGTTTTCTCTCAGGTCCAGGGAGAGTTGAGTCAGTGAATCCATTCTGCAGTGCTCAGCCATTTCCAGTCAGAGATGTGCCGGAATCTGACATTGCTGCCTAGGACCAAAGCAATTCCCGCTTCTTACTGTGACTTGATTTATAATTTACAGCGCAACCAATTATTTTAACAGTAAATGTTACACATGCAGTAGACCATATATTTGGTGGTATTACAGCTAACACTTTGGACAAAGAGGTTCAGGAGATCCAGGTTACTCTTGTATTTACTACATTTTGGCAGAACCTGGACTCCCAGTTACAAGTCCCTGTCAGGCACTGTAGAAACACGATAGAGAGGAGAGCACCTGCC